CTGTAAGTAACCAGTCGTCCGCCAATTTAAGGTACAATCGTGTCTGTAGGACAACTTGAGATATTTGGAACCAATCATAATGTCTCAACCGAGTTTCAAGGGTGCTGGGCCCGCGGAAGGAATCATCGAGGACAGGTTAAATGTACGAACTCGGGTCTCTCTGACTTGCCCCAACTCGGGTCCCGTGGCCATTTAACATCAAAGCAACGAATGCATACCCCATGGATCTCTTTTTGCCTCGGTTTTTTATATTACATTTCATGGTTATCACGATAAGATGAGATTCGTACCATTCGTTGCAGATGCAAACTGGGGCAACTCCGCCTGGTATAACCTGCCTATCTTTTCATCGTATATAGCCATTGAATTTCAACCTTGCTGTCTTACAGTCTTCAATACGTAGTCTCGTAAGACCTCTATGATAATAACGTTTTAGCAGTACGATAGGCTCATTGAACCTGGCCTCGCCCCTAGATCCAGCTATGTGCTTCAAACTACCAACTGAAGCCGTGTTGCATATTTTATTTGGCTCTCGTGCGGTTCTTGTTGGTACACTAATTGTCCGTGTCCTAAGAAATTGAGCCATGGATGGTTTTGTTACTCTAGGCATCATATGAGTTTTGTCTCATTGACAGACATGATATCTCATAAGAGTACATAACTAACCGATCTGTCCTTGATCATATCTCTTCATCAGGACACATCTAATGATCCGTTTCCAGCCTTCCTTCAACGCATACTTTGTTTCGAAACTACTTATTCATAGGCGAATATGAGAGAAGCAAGATCGTGCAGATGTATCATTCTTTATTACCCCAAGGGAAATACGTCCATATGTATTGGCACTATCTAGCAGTTGATGGAATACGTAGGCGGCCTTTTTCCTTTCTGGTCCCCAGCAACTCGATGTAAGTAGGTCCCATAAACTTCCAAAATGTGCCTTATCGATAGCCAGAAGCATTGCGATACTTCCAATGCAAGGAAAATTTTGCTCATAGCTTGATTAATGTCTTTAGGTTATGGAGAAGTTGAGCGTTCGTAAGCTGGAGCCTGGCTATCACTCAATGGCCCCAACTCATGCACATCGAAAGAGCCCAGTCAGAGTCCTGTAAAACGATCAGCAAGATATTGAGCCCGGAACCTTCTAATTAGTATACTGACTCCAGTTTCCGACAAGGTTATAGTTAATGTTCTGGTGAATGGTACCAAGAGCCATGCTGAAGAAAGTTCGCCTTGGGTAGGGGTTCGAGCCAGAACCAACAGCCAAGCCGTTATCGACACGAGACAGGCCCGGATCACCGTTACCACGGTCAGACTGTGCGCCAAAGTTGATGAAGACGTTGGCGTAGCCAGTGACTTGAACCTCGAGGTGGACGTTGAAGATACCGTCGCGGCCGGTGCTTCTCCAGGCACGGTACTCTAAGCGGTGATCACGAGCCGAACCGGCCCAAGTGTTCAAAGGAAGCTGTGAAAGAGTAGGATTGGCGCCATCGAAGACGTGGGCTTCAATGTCGCCGCGAAGGTCGATGCTGATGGCGGGGAGTTCGGCTGGGGCACCGCGGTAACCGACGCATGTCAGGCCCCGCTCCTGTACCAGAGGTTGGAGAACTGGCGAGCAGGAAGCCAGAGAGATAAATAAAGCAATAAGCCAAAGCATATTCAAATCGAATGTAATGAGTGCCTCGTATATGTAAAAAAGAATGTTGTGGCTTGGTGACGAGCTGGCGGGATTTTCTGGTTGAAGAGCTTTCATCGTCTGCAGGCTTGAGTTCGTAGCTATATAGATGTGTCTAACTGTACAGATATCGTGGAACTCGACATCTTTACGTGGCATAACATTTAGGATCTCCGTAATCTTCCATCTCAAATTCAAATATATGACTACGGAGTTCTTGGTGTCAAGTACTATGGCTTCTTCTTCCCAAGTCTGCCCAGCTGGAAATGAGGCTTACAACACGGGCCTAAAAGCGCCCATAGCCAAAAGCTTGTGACTTCGCTGGCCGGTTACTCAAAAGCTTCGCATATTTTTTACGTGTGCTTATTGATTTTAGAACAGATTCGCTCTCCGCACGCCCTTCCGAACGGATGTGGCGGCTTCTGTCAGTGGACTCTTTGCAACTCTTAGTTCAGAACTGTGAGCTCAAGAACTGACTCTTGCAAATTATCACGAGAATGCAATCAAACTTACACCCAAGACAATGATTGCTTGCGAACGGAACCCGCGGGGTTCACAACTTCGCTATTCCATAGAGCATATAAGTCCGCAGCTGCTGTTCGCTGAATTTCTGACCTGCAGCATCTAAGACATCGCTTCGGTTATTTCAGGACAATTGCTAAGTGCGCTCTCTGACCTATGGCCACATTCACTACCTGCTTTAATTCAGTCCATCAAATTTATCAATCATAGTCAATCTTCAACATGCGTCTCTCCGTTTTTCCTGTCATGGCCCTCTTTCTGTATGTTCCTGAGATTCATCCTTGGAAACTCATAACTTCAGATCGCTAACGCTCGCCAGGGGGCTGTCCATGGCTGACATGCACGACTACTGTGCATGCCAGTACAAAACCGACTCAGCAGTTGACTATGCCGCCACTGATCTGTTGGCCGGCGACTGCAGGTTCGGCTACACTTATGGTAGGTCTTGCGGCTCTTGCCAATCAGAGTCACGCAGCTAACCACTTTTAGGCCAAAACTCCGGGCAATTCTGGATTGGTCGATCATCTGGTTCGGGACCGAGGTTCCAAGGACGGTTCGTAAGTTCAAGTCCAGCTCAATCAGTCCTCAGTGAAAGCGGCATGACTGACTTGTGACAACAGCTCAAGGCAATTAGTGGCCAAATTGATGGAAAAGAGTTTTACAACAACTGCAAAAGATATGCTGCGAATGATGCGACTTGCTTTAATTGCGACTTCAAATTTGAGTATCCCGATGGGTCTATCCTGTGTCGGTAATCGTTTGCCCTGGACAGAATGTCATTTCTCATTGCTCAAAATCCCATCACTCCCGTGTGTCGCGAATTTCAAACCTCTAGTTACTGTTCCATCTACTAAAGGTCATAAAGATGGTTCCCGTTAGTCATTGCAAGGAAACTGGATATATGAGTTGCATAAACAATCTTAGTTCTATTCAAAGGCCTAGCCTGCACTGCATGTGTGTTTGCCGGATCAGCGAGAGTCGGCCTGAATTCAGAAACAAGTATCATGAATCTGGTCTAGAGCCACGATTTCCGAGAGAATCGAACCTCCACGTTGAAATTGATGTCAGTATTTAGTTTAAAGTTCTGCCTTTGCTGGCTGCTCGGGCGATTCTCGATATCGTTTACACAGTATTAGTGGATACTCCCACTGTCTCGACAGACTTTTTTTCGGGATTTTCTTCCTCCTTTTATCCTTTCCCTCCTGCAAAGTTCACAACCACGATTGATGTCAGTAGACTTTAGCAACAATACAATTTAATGCCTTGTAATCGGGTTGTATACCGGAGAATTTGACAGAGATTCGAAGAGCGCTCTCCGCCGCCATTGAGTTATGTGATGAGACCTACTCTTTGATGCTCAGTGCTTGAGACGTTCATTCTCATGGTCTATCATGTGCTTTTGTCAATATTGAAATCTAGTATTATAAAGTGACTGTAATTTTGTTGGGGGATTGGGACATAGGCGTCTACGTGTTACATTCCGTGTTCAGCGATGTTCATGGTGTTGCTTTGCAACCATGTACGTGCGTGGCTTTGCGTGTTATTCAGAACTTCGCTCCCGGTGCATATAACTATAGAGTATAAGCCTGTCTGTGTACTAGAATAAAAGCATCGGTGCTACCAATGAGCAGAAGCGGATGTGAAGTGAACTGTGCACGTTGTGTGGGTAGTTAGACCGATACGTGACTCCTCGGGAGTGAAAGGTGATGATTGCCACACCACGCGGGTTCTAAGAGCACATAGAATTATCTGGCTACGCGAAAGTGACTTTTTCTCAGTGTCCAAGAGCAACCCTCGTGAAACGTCTCGAGCAATTAGCTAAAAGTGCTGCCTCGGTATTGACTACCTAAGGTAAGGTGAAAGAGGGAGCTTTCCCCGGCGAAGACCGGTGTCAACCCACTTTTTCCCAATTAATTGAGTAAGCGTTCTGCCATCGACACGACTACTTAAGAATCAACAGTGATGGCGAGTTTGCTTGTCTAAATGTTAATTCATTACACTTTGAACCTGTCCCGACAAGTAACACCCCACTGGACAGGAGGTATGATCCCGGATCCCTGTCGCTGGGCACACTCATCCTATGAAGACCGACTATAGTTACAATTGAGGAAATCAGCGGAAGGCTAACCTAAATATGTGTGTGTTGCGCACACATGTCTACGGGCTGCTCCGTATTACGCCAGTTGCTCAAGCTGGCAGGCTAGGAGTGGAGCATCGGGAGCACCGGACGCTCCGGGCGGGCCGTCAGACCTTGTAAGAGGCGGTCCGCGGACTTACCCGGCGAGGTAGAACTTACACTGCTACAGCATGTGAAGCCGCTTTGCTATGGAAGAAGATTTCAACCACAATGGGTGTCCTAAGCGAGAGCGAACCATCAACGGATCGATGAAATATCAAGTGTGTGATATTTTAGCAATACCGAGCCACTGCACGTCATATTGAGATGAAAAGCCTATGCTGACATAAATTACCGATACCGACGTTCGAACCTTGATCGACGATGGTCAAAAGTATCACAGCAGAGCCACACAATTTTGCAAAGGTTGGTGATGGGGTGGCCATAAACCACGCCATCCGTGGATGAATGTGCGAGGAAGGCGTGTAGCTTCAATAATGACTCATACTGACAGTGCGAGTTTGATCTTGATTCTTGAGGTTTTGACGAAGATGAAGTTCTATCATACAGAGCGACCGGGCTCTCAGTCTAGAATCGTCAACCAGCCCAGCTTCCTAAATTGCAGAATCTCAATGCAACCCATGCATTATGCTTCTTCATATTCATCGTCGCGGCGAAGTACAGGGATCAGTTCTCCTCCGGCGTGGAATCAACCGTGAATGTGTACCCGCCTTCGGCATCAGGCTTGATGTCTGAAAGACAGTACCGGGGGGTCTTCATACTGTTTGATGTCGCGGTCAGATTTGAGCACCTAGATTGACGAACTGAGTTTTGCTTACCTCCACAGCCAATTTGCCATACACATATTCTTGCAATTTTTCGCCAGCAGAGTGACGTGACTCTTGTAGGGCGTATCGTCGAACCGGCGAGCAGAAGCCTTAACGGCATCGTTGAGCGCAGAGACTTCGTGCTCCAATCGAGCCACAGCACCATCAAGCCCCTTTTGCGCATCGCCATTGGCTAACAAGACAACAAGGTTCTCGACGAAACCTTCCTTGAGTTCCTTGCGCAGACTCACAATGTCGTTGACGATCCAGACGATGGCAACAGCAGCTCGGTACAACTCACGCATTTCTGGGGATGCCATGACCTCCTCGGGGAGGTTGATGCCGTTGGCGAACTCAAGGTTGACCGCCACTTGCATGATGCATGATGATGCCTCTCGGTATCCGAGGTACTCTTGGAGCGATGTGGCTCGACCAGCATACCGGTTCACGGCTTCTTGTCGGTAGCCATCGAGGGTGGCAGTAGCTTCTTTTGCGATGCGTTGTCGATAGCTGTAATTGTCCCCGTTGGCCTTCATGACAGCTTGAGCATACTCAGCAAATGACACAACGGCATCGTGATCCCTATACTGCGGTTGACCGCTTTCAGCGGTAGTGAGGAGTCCGAGGCTACGGTCGATGAAGTCCCGGCAATCGGCCAGAAGAAGATGCAGTGACGCAAAGTCGAAGTTATGTATGAGCGAGTACTGGTCAAGCATGTCATCGACGATGAACATCCAGGCCTGGAAAGAGGTGAGAGCTTCGATTCTATCGCAGGAAGCATATGGGTACCAGCCCGTCAGTTGCTTTGACAGCATGGCTTTCGTTAGACGTCCACGAACGGCATCATTGACTGCGTGGCTATTGCACGGTCAGTGGAATCCGATCGTCATTATAGCAATCTCTTACCTCTCAATGATCTGGAGAATCTTGCTGTCTACAGCATCGAGGTGTGGGTTCTGGTCCCTCGGCCAATCTTTCATCAGCCGTCCGAGGTCTGGAATACGGATTTGCTGGCCATGGAGCTGCAAAAGCATTTTCTCGCGAACTCCATGGGTCCTTTGCGGCAGCAAGTCATTGTCGCGAGTTTGGTGTCCTCTTGGAGTGGATGAAAGAGCGGGATGAAGCGAGAAGGGTGCTGCGGCAACTGAAGAATGAGACATTGCAGAGGTAAGCTTTAGGTGATGGTTCGTGAGAAGAAAGATCTGGGCAAAGTTGGCACATGTGGGATGTCTATGATGCCGTTAAAATGGGACAGGTTCAGTTACTTACTTATGTTTCCCACAAGTTGGATGGTACAAGGGCGAATACATCAGCCTGCAGCCTGCAAGGAACTGTTGGTTCTCCACCGCGAGGATTCTTGAAAGGATGCCATTACGCGGGCACCGGACCGAGCCCAATACGGCATCAAATCGCACTCTAAAACCGCCTTGGAGCGCTTGAAGTACATGCTACGGTCAGAACGTATCAGGCTAAAACTGCGAGTCCGTGGCGCAGACTGGAGTTTCCGCCTTGCTTGTGTTTGTTTCCGCCTCGAATCCGAAAGAGCGTTGGACGTCAAACATATTGTTACAGCCACAATACATGTTGTAAAGCCCAAAAAAGCCGTGGTAGTGGTCCAATCTGGAGAGCATGTCGTCGACCGTTAGACTAGCTGACTGTTGCTAAGGTTCTGAAGTAAAACCGTGTGGTGGGTCTGTGTATGGACTAAGTAACTCCTTCGTAGCTCCCGGACTTGAGAACAGTAGTTCAAAGTCACAGAACTGAGGGTTTACGTTGTCCGCGGGTATGTCCAGCACGCTTGCTGATCATAGTCGATTGCAGGCTACCTTATGCCAGTCTGAATTACTTTCCTTGCAACCTTCTCGGAGCCGGGGCCGGGGCGAAGTAGGTTGGTCGTTTCCATTGCCGGGAGCTTAACGGCAAAGCTTGTACACACCAGAACTCACAGGGTTTGCTCTGGTTGAAGACTTGGTATCTTCAACGCCGTTTCAGTAGCAAAAGCAACGTAGGGGCATTGATACCCACACTAGACACTGCAAGGAGGTCACAAGCGGCATGGCGGAGCGCGTGTAAAGCGCGGAAACATTGGGCCAAAACTAATCGAAAAGACAATAGTGGCCAATGTTTACAGACGAAAGTGACTGCACTTCGGCCCGTGGGCACGTCCGAGATTGACATGCGCGCAAATGTCACTCAAGCGCTTAGACTGTATGCGGAATCGAGCTTTGTGCTGGGCAAAGACATCAGTATCTTCCTACACTTTAAAAAGTTGGCACTTTGTATCTTTGCCCCCGTCAAAGTCTCGTTCATCCATGGAAAAGATACTTAACGGGGGGACGCGGATTAAGTTCCCATCCCTGGCCTTCCTCTTCGGGGTAGACCCCACGAGCAATTATTTCCCATAGAGGCATTTACCTGAAGTTCGTGATGTCGAGGCGGGGGCGTGGGCTGATTGTGAATGGTGATGTGGTTAGGACTCGGACATTGAAGGAATTTCCATCATGACAGAGGGAAGATATAAAATAAGACATGTTTGAGTTGATTTCTTGTCAACTAATATGCTTTGACTATCACCAAGAAGCTTGTTATCATCATTGCCGCTGCCACTGCATTCAACTTCCCAACCTCTCGTCCTGTTTCTCTGTACATCCAACGAACTTTTCAACTCAAATCTCGAATATGACCACCGCCGCTGTTCCTCCGAATCTTAGCAGTGGCCACTTCTGGCTCGGTGCCGGCAACGGAGCCAAGAACGGAGCCCCGACGCAACAGCAGCAGCAACAAGACGTGGAAGTCCCCAAGGTTCTCCCTCCCGGAGTCACGCAGGCTGGATTCACTAAATTCGCCCGCCGAGTAATTCAAGCGGTCGGAGGAGGCGAGAACTTCACTGTCATTACGGCTGGCTGTGACTTTGAGGGCTACGAAGATGATGACTTTGGCCGCAACTGCCGCACCCACGACTACTACCGCTCCTTTGACGACGAGTGCGAGCTGGTAGGCTCAGCTTTGTGCCACCCGCGCAGCGTGCAGGACATCCAGGCTGTTCTTGCTGCGTGCAACGAGTCAAAGGTTCCCGTATGGCCCATCAGCACTGGACGAAACCTCGCGTACGGTGGCTCGGCACCGAGAGTAAGCACAATAACCTGTGTCTTTTACCTAGCTCCCGCCTTGGAAGGCTGACGAGATGTTTCAAGGTTCCTGGATCGCTGGTTATGATTCTGAGCACGCACATGAACCGCATCTTGCACTTGGATGAGACGGCGTGTGTCTGCATCGTTGAGCCGGGTGTCACTTTCATGCAAATGAGCGAGTAGGTCGCCGATCGTCCCATCAAAAGATTCTCAGAAACCGAGAGACTGACAGGCTTCCCGCCAAAAAGTTATCTGCGTGACCGCGGCCTCTTGGACAAGATCAGAGTAGACTCGTCAGGCCTCGGCTGGGGATCCATGATTGGAAACGCCCTGGACCGCGGGGGCGGTGCTTCCTTGTACGGTGACAGATGGGGAAAACACAGCGGAATGGAGGTCGTTCTGCCCAACGGCGAGGTCGCCAGGATGGGAATGGGAGCGATCCAGGACCCGGAGGGCCGCAAACAGGCGGAGCAAGGCGTTCACCCGGCCGATCAGAAGCTCAATGAGTGTTTCGCTCTGTTCCCGTACGGCTGGGGTCCAATGAACGATGGTCTGTTCTCGCAGGGCAATGCTGGCATCGTCACGAAGATGGGATTCTGGGTGAGATGCTCCGTCCAATCATACCTGGCCCGGTACGACAATAACGTCAAAAGGGGTAAACTGACAACTTTCACCATAGTTGATGCCCGCTCCGCAGGGCATGACGCCGTTCTCCGTCACTTTTGAGAAGGAGGCCGATCTGGCCGCCCTGGTCGACTGCATTCAGCCTCTTGATCTGGTATGATTTCTCCCCAGGTCTGAAAGGCAATTTTATCGAGCTGACTCTCTTTAGAACGGCACGCTCCAGAGTTCAGTCAGTTTACGCAACCTCACGCTGGAGGCTGCTCATTATGGCCCGAGGTCCAGCTACACCAATGCCTCTCACAAGGAAGTCATCCCCGAAGAGGACTTTGAGAAGATGGCCAAGAAGCTCAACACGGGTCGGTGGCGCTACATTGGCGCCGTATTCGGCTCTGACAAAGTCCGCGCGGCTCTCATTGAGGATATCAAAAAGGAGTTGACAAAGGTTCCGGGCAGCAAGTGGGCCACGCTTGACGAGTGCCCCGGTGAGCAGAACTTGGTTCGTGTCAGAGCCACGTACCTCCAAGGTATCTCGTCCATGGGAGAGTTTGCTTGGATGAAGCAGTGGTTGCCCAACTGCTCCGTCATCATGGTCGCGGCTATTTCCAGACTTGAGGGCAAGGCCGTTTGGGAGCAATACTCCTTGGCAAAGGAGCTGTTCGCCAAGGCGGGCATCGACTACATCAGCCACTATGTCGCATACTTCCGGACTATGCGTAAGTGTTCCCATGATCAGACCATCGAAGCAACTAGTTTACATGAACTGACATCGCACTTTCAGACAACGTGTGCATCATCCCGTATGACAGAAAGGACAAGGACATGCGCGGCCGCGCGCAGTGGTTGGGCCGGACCCTTGTCAAGGAGTGGAAGGCTCGCGGCTGGAGCGTCTTTAGGACCCACGTAGGTCTCATGGACCAAGTTGCGGATGCTTATGACTTCAACAATGGTGCACTGTGGAAGATGCATGAGGAGATTCACGACACCCTGGATCCCAATGGCATTCTAGCGCCCGGAAGAGGCGGTGTCTGGCCAAAGTGCTACGACAAGGATGCTTGGATGATGGGAAAGAAGTACATTGGGTGAGATGAGCCTGGCAGATACTCAAAGATACGAATCCGAGTCTGCATGAGTCTTTATAAAACTCACCTAATCGACGAAGTGAAACGGGACGATGAATACTGTGGACGGAAGAGTGAGGATAATTTGACAACTACCGGCGTTATGCTTCATGCTAGAACATGGGAGCCTGCGTGTATAGTTCCATTATTCGTATCTACGGGTTAAGGTAGTTGAAACAACAGGGTCTTTACTCGAAAAGGTCACTCTTCAATCTACACGGAACTCCCCTCGCTGGACCACGATATGGACTTCCGATTGTCCATTTCTTTATGTAACCATTTCAGGCCTCTCATCCGGATGGAATACATCGCGTAAGCTGTGATTTGGGATTGCGGACCTCCACTGCTCCGGCCCTGCCGTCGCTAGTCATGAGCCAGGTTCATCGTCTAACTATTCCTGGAAAGCCGTTCGCACACACTCTCGTCAGCTGTCATCCGATCTACTAAGTCACCAATCACACGATAAAGATGGCTTACCGCGGCTCTGGTTGTACGCACCAGGTCCCAACTCTCTGAGTGGGCAACTCGGACTCTAAGTTTTCTTGGGTTGACACATCCCGTCGGTCCATGCCGTGGCAACCACTGTATTCTTTGAAGTCGGAACGCTCATATAAGTAAATAAAGAAGGAGCCAAGGCTGCAGATTGTTTCATCAGCCTCGTTGAGATTTGTAATAGATGATCGCTGGGCTTCTTATTGAACTCCTAAAATTAGGCTTGATGAAGCCCGTGGCGACCTAACGGACAGGCACGGTGGGTTCAAGAATCCAAGATTTAGGCTAGGTGTTCTTGCGTAGTTACGATCATGTGCAGCCTGACCGACAGGATAGTTTGAAGACGTCAGTTGACCAATCTTGGTTCTTATACATGGTAGACCTCCATGATCTTCTTCGTCGGTGAAACTGGAGGTTGCCTCTGTGACAGAACTTACACCAGAAGAACCCTGCAACCATTGAGGTTGATCTATACCCGTTGGCGTATGGACTCCACCAGATTTCATAGTTTATCGGAGGACTGAGATTGACATCGGTTCGAGGTACAACAAGACGGGCCACCATTCCAGCTCGAGGAGAGCAAAAGTCTCGGCTCATAACCACATTCTCTCATGTATCCTCAACTAAAAAAAACTATCTTATCTTCCGGGATTGGTAACAGAGAACCCC